GCATATCAAGACTCAGTAAAGATGTTAACAATTTTTCCTTCACTCAGTTCTAAGACACAAATTAGGGCGATTAACTCCGTTCATTGTGCAGAGGTACCCTGAGGCAGTGGCTTGACCTCTACAGCTGTATCTAGAGTTACCACCGCATATCCAGCACACCGTTCTCCTTGGGGGCTGATGAAACTGCTCCCATCCATATACAGTCCCCAGTCTGCCTGTGCCCACAGTTGGTCCCGCAGGTCTGGCCGACTAGAGTGGACTGAGTCCAGCACCTCTATACAATCATGTGTCACCTGGTCCTCGGACACAGGGAGTAGGGTGGCCGGGTTTAGCGTATTACAAACTTCTATGGTTATGTGTGGGTTTTTGCACAACAAGCCCTGGTACCTGGTTAGCCTCCCATTGGTAAGCCAATGGTGGCCCTTCGTGTTCATCAAGGTGACCACAGCATGGGGAACTTACATTTAAATTTTGTCCTAACGTTAGCTTGTCTGCATCCTGTGCCAGCAGAGCAGTAGCCACTAGCAGCTGTAGGCAGAGCGGCCATCCTTTAGAAACCTCGTCCAGTTGTTTGGACAGGTACGCCACTGGTAGAGGCCATGGGCCTATAGCCTGGGTGAGGACCCCCACTGCCATCTTTTCTCATTCAGACACATGCAGAGTAAAAAGCTTTGTTAAGTCTGGGAGCCCGAGGGCCGAGGCGGACATCAAAGGGAGAAGGCCTGTTGTTACTCTGGGCTCCACTTGAACGGCTCTGTGGCCTCATACAGAGGTTTGCCTAGAACTGCAAAGTTAGGACAGTTTGCAAAATCCCATGGCCCCTATGAATTCTCAAACCTGTGTCTGGGTCTTCAGGATCAGCAAGCTGCTGATAACTTGTTTTCTTTCTGGTCCCAGGCTGCACTGTCCGTGCTGGATAGTAAATCCCAGAAAACATACCTGTTGTTGGCAGATCTGGGCCTTTTTCTTGGAGACCATGTATCCACAACTTTCAAGGTTTCTGAACGATGAGCCAGTTCCCTAGATATACCCGACAGCTGCTGGGTGTCCCAGCAAAAGTTCATCCACGTACTGAAGCAGAACACAGCCTAGGTCCTCGGCAGAAAACCTTTGAAGGTCCTGGGCCAGTACTTCCCCGAAAATGGTTAGGGAGCTCTTAAACCCCTGGGGAAGTCAAGTCCAGGTGTATTGCATAGTTACACCTGACTCTGGATCTTCCCACTAGAAGGCAAAGAGTTTCTGGCTCTTAGGGGCTAGCCAGATACTGAGGAAAGCATCTTTTAAGTTCAAGCAAGTGAACCAGCTAGCTTCAGCTGGTAGCAGTCCTAGCAACCTATAGAGGTTAGGAACCACGGGGTGTAAAGTCACTGTCGCCTGGCTGACCAGATGCAAATCCTGCACCAGCCGATAGTCCTTGGTGCCTGGTTTGGCGATGGGCAAGAGAGGTGTATTCCAAGGAGACTGGCAAGAAACTATGATTCCAAATGCTTTTAAGCATCTGAGATGGACTTGGATTCCCTCAAGGGCCTCCCTCAAAACTGGGTGCTCGGCCGGGAGCGGTGGCTCAAGCCTGTAATCCCAGCACTTTGGGAGGCCGAGGCGGGTGGATCTCTAGGTCAAGAGATCGAGACCATCCTGGTCAACATGGTGAAACCCCGTCTCTACTAAAAATACAAAAAAT